GTACATATGAGGCTGTAAACTTGATGTAAGATTTGGTTCACTCTTGGCGGTCCTTTGCAAAATATTTTTCTTAGCCTTTCCTTCAAAAGTCACATGAATGTGCTGTAAAGTTATCTGAATTTTGGAAAACAAGTTTATTGTTTGATTTCAATTTATTTATTTATTAATGGGAGCGTCGCTTTTAGCCCTGGCTAAATCTATATATTATTCGTGGCAGAGAAGTCGGTGCTGGAATTTTTTCGTCTGAACTATCTTAAATTTAGATGTTTGTCCCTATTTGGGAACCATTTGCGAACCGCTGACATCATACCACGGACACTCCAACCGAGGGGGAGGGCGTGGGGGCACAAAGTTGAGTTCGCACGTTGTTTAAAGTTAACATTAAAGAACTTAAAGTTTCTTACAAAGATAAATGGGATGATAGGACTTTGTGATTCCCATAAAATGTCTAAAATTTAATCAAGGCTCCTCAAAAATCAAAAGTTGCTTAAAATGGCAAAAGTTGCCTTAAAGTTGCTCCAGAAAGCGAAGATTGCCAAAACGTTACCGAGCAAATTGTAGCTAAGGCTAACAACAGGAGCCGAACATAATTGCAGTGATCGAGGAATAATATGGCGGAAACTTAGCTCGGGCTATTTTGTTCAGCTTACGATAGACGGCAGTTTACCAAAGAAAAAGGTCTACCTAAACCAATATACATGCCGAAGATAAAGTATCTCTTGATCTTCCAGCACGAAGGGTAAAGCAGTCTTTAAAGTTGACATTGCTAAATACATTTTGTTGACGATCCCCTTCTCCTCCCCCCACCCCCCCCCCAAAAGTGACACCATGAAGAAAGCATACCCTACTGTCGACTTCCAGCAACCTTTTCTGTCCTTGAGATGCAACATTTGAATAGGTTAGTGTAGCCAAAACAGCAACTTCCATATCATCTGCCTTTAGATGTGGAACTATCTTCTCGCTTAATCGTGGAGGAAAAGGTGCCTGGCGACCTTCTGAGCCCTTAGAAAGGCAGTGAAGTGTCTTCATAACAGAAGACACTATAAACTTTATGTCCTGTTTGTAAGTAAGCAATGATTGTATTAAACTTTGGAATTAACCGGTAATTGGAAAGTGGAGTGAGCATCAGCGTAAAATATCAATAACGGGGAATTTTTGTAGCGGAACTACGTCGTCGTTGATGATGCAGTTGCAACTTTTGTATGCTGTATACAGTTAAAATAGCATGACGGGGCGCGTGAGCGTAGCCCGTTAAACTTAGCATAAGAACATAATTTTTAAATTTTAAAAATATATATAAAAATTAGCACCATCAATAATACTCCTTTTAAAAAAAAATTCTCCAATATATCACTTATTCGGCTGAAAAAATTCATCGACGATTACTTCTTAACTTTTAAAGTCCAAAAGATGTTAAACGAAGAGAGTTAATAAATATGAAAGCGATTTTCATTGTTCATGTTGCAACTTTATTCGTCCGAGCGATGTTTAGCGTTCCCGAAAGTACAGCTTTCTGCATGTTATGAAAAACTCCCTTACTCTTACTTCAGACCAACTCCTTTAGCTTGGCTTCTAAGCGCCTGTTTACATGGAGGTGGAGGACCCCAGGTAGGTGAGGTAACCCGCTTAGGTGGGGTAAACCGCCTGTCCATATGATCTCTCATTTTAATTTGATCACGTTTACATGATAGGTGGGGTGACCCGCCAAGGCGGATACCCGGTCTACCAGACCGGGTAACCCTCTCAGCCGGGGTCAAATTTTGCCATGTAAACGTTCAAGGCGGGGTAACCCGCCTAGCCGGGGTCCGAATCGTGATACATGAAATTCGAGCAGAATTCACTTTGGGTGTAGTTTTGCATCATTATTTAAAGAAAAAATAGAAAAACACAGTAATGAAGGTTGCAGCAAGAGCAGCAAGTGGGTGTAGAAGAGCATTAATCGCCAAAGCACGTGATTTGCCAGCATATTTCTTGTTTAAGTGCTTAGCGACCATTCAATAATCTTGAGAAAGTGCACCCCGGGATGGCGTGGTTGTAAGATTGCATGTAAAGGAGGGTTATTTTTTTACCCCACCTAAGCGGGTTACCTCACCTCCCTGGGGTCCCCCACCTCCATGTAAACAGGCCCTAAGTCTCTGCACCATCCCCCTAGTATGTCCATTATGATATTGTATTGTTTCACTTCATATCCGTGTTACTTCTGCTTCAATTCTAACCGGAGCGGTCCGCATTTCGTGGTTTTCTCCTCCTGTTTTTTCTCGCGGTTTGTAACCCATTGGCAGCTCATCTCCAGCGTGATGGCTCACTTTGACTCTTGGTTGATAATGCGAGCATCTACTCTGCTGGCTCTAACTTCTTGGTGCTCCGCAAATAGAGGGGCATCCCAGAATGCTAGCGCATTGCTCGCCTCGTACACTCGCTTCGGTTTCAGTGGCGATTACCAAGGTGGCACTGAGTCTACAATGCCTAGGTCTTGCAGAACTTCAAACAAAAGTATCTTCAGGTCTGCGTTCTGTCGGGTAACGTACTTGTTCTGTGCAAGGGCAGTACAACCATCCAGGACATGGGAGACACTTTAGGGGCCTTATTACATAGCCTGCACATTACCTCACCCGTCGTGTCCATGTACGTTTTCTGGCAGGAATACAGCCTCGTAGAGCTCAAACATCCCCGTCACTGTATGTGTTGGGCATTGTTTCCAACCGCAACCACATTAGGTAACCCAACACTGGTAATGCAAATTGGCTTGAGGCGGTTACACGGTTGTGATCAGACAGAGGACTTGACCAGATAATAGACATCTGCCAAGAAACTCCTTAGCTGCGCATTCCAACGACATTCTTCTCCTCTTTCTTCGCCGTCTCTAAGACACCCAAGAACTTGTACTGATTGCCCCCTTCGAGGTCGGAAACACAGATGTTCTCATCTACCCTTGGCCCCGAGGCATCATGGGTATGGGTCTAAACCCGCCTTCGCACATGAACGACCGCACACTTTTTGGGGTCCCACTGAAGTCTGACATCCTCCATCGCGATTTTAGTTGACGCCATAACACGGTTTAGCTTACTCTCCGAAGACACAAAAATCTTTAGATCGTCGATATACAGGAGGTCTGTTACCTTTATATAGCCCTTAGTGGCGCTGATCTTCCATGCGATGGGATTCAAACAAACCGTGAAGAGCCTGGGACAGAGAGCGTCACCCTGGGGTAGGCCTTTTGAGGAACCTTATTGGCTCAGATGTCTCGCGCCCTTGCTTTGTAATCGCCACCACCCTTGTGTTCCAGCTCTTACTTAACTTCTCTACCGTCTTTGACAACCAAACAGGGAATCTATGCAGGATAATAATTTCCTCCAACCAACCATGGTCTACCAAGTCGTACATCTTCTTGACGTCAATCCACGCCAAACTCAGGTTACTCTTTCGCCGATGACAATCTAAGGTCACAGTTCTGTCAATCAGTAAATTGTCTATAGTTCTGCTACATCCTGCGCGTGCGCCCCTCTAGGCTCCATCCATTAAACCTTGCGTTTCCAGGTGTTCATTCGCGGGTCCTAACAGGCACGACTTATACAAAGTATTTAAACAGGTGATCGGACTCTCGTTATCGATGGTGAATTCTCCGGGTTTCGGGACTAGTATGGTTTTGCCCGCGGAGAACCAGGCTGAATACTCTATGTTGGTATTCGTGATGGTTTGAAACGACATAGCCACCCCCTCATGGAGCACTTTTGCCTTTTTCCACCAAAAATTGGTCAACCTGTCTGGGCCCAGGGCACTCCAGTTCTTTTTCCTTGCTAGTACCTTTGTAGGTGATGGGGGAGGAACTCGGCTATAAATTGCAGATCATGTATCCTCGAGCCACTGGGCTTTTCGATCCCCGGTCCCTTGACTTTTCCAGTGCTGTTTCTAAAAGCTACTCGCATCTTCAATATTCTCAAACATCTTTCTTTCCGCATTTTTGTCGTCAACCGGCATGTACTTTGGGTGTTCATTCCCTTTATCCTTATCCAATACCTCTCTCATATCAGCGTAAACCTGGCCCGCGTTTACTTTAAACTGGTGATTTACACGTCTTGTTCATTATTATTATCATTATCATTATCATTATCATTATCATTATCATTATCATTATCATTATCATTATCATTATCATTATCATTATCATTATTATTATTATGTAAAATTTAGCACAGGGATTTTCCGTGGGGAGAAATATCCAGTCAAGTCTCATCCCGAGACCTCAGACTTCCAGCACCTTTCTGAGGATATGTGCCGATCTGAGGAGTGCCGACTTTTGCATCGTTCTCGTTCGGTTTTTAATTCCTACTTGCTCCAAGTGGCCTGACAGCTTCTTTGACACTGAACCCAATGCACCTACAACCACTGGCACCACTTTTGTCCTTGATTTCCAGATCCTTTGAATCTCTCTTGCCAGGTCTTGGTACTTTTCACACTTTTCAGTTTCTTTCTGCAGAATATTACTATCTCCGGGAACAGCTATGTCCGCAATGATTGTTTCCTTTGCATTATTATTATTATTATTATTATTATTATTATTATTATTATTATTATCATTATTATTCCTTTTTGTTATCATCATCACCATCATCATCATCATCATCGTCACTATCATTGTCATTATCACTATCATTATTACTATTATTATTATTATTTAAAAAACAAGTTAAGGGTTTTCAGAGGCGAGTACTGTTAGTCTTTCCATACCTAAAGGAAGTTTATGAAAGTGACGATTTACGACTTTGCGCCCCAATAGGTTTTAACGTAGCTTGATAAATACAAATCACCTATCAGTACACTGATCTCATTTGTTGGATAATCTTATATTATGTGAATCATGTTTAATATAAGTACTCATGTTTGATATAAGTATTCTGTAATCTATTAGTAACAACTTAGTTTTTGGCCCAGTTAAAGAAGACATGGTTAGCTGAGAGAGTTACTCTAGTAATTACAATTTATCACAACCTTGTCTAGACCTACCGTCCCTGATTTGTGGAACACTTAATGGAATTTCCGTCCAGACCCTTTCCTAATACATCCAAGAAGCTTCGCCTTGCCTGCTTTGAAGTAGCAGCTGAAAAGTACCGAAATATACTGAGAACAACGCAGATCCCAAGCCAGCAGCCCCGAGACGCAATGTCTTCACTCAACAGACGAGAAAGGAAGGTTGCGAGAAAATATAGAGCATTCCCGTTGGACAAGTGGTCACCGTACTTTTGTCGGAGCTCTTGGTTTTGTGTTTCTTCGTACGGTTGTAAAATATACTTGGCAAGTTCACCAACTACCAACAAATAACTGTCACGGTATCGTCTTTCCTTTAGGAAATTGACCGCAGTGGACATGCGATTGATGACAAAAGCGGTATCCGTTAGGTCTTTAGAGTTATTCTGTTTTTCTCCACCGCCTGAAAATGAAAAGAAGCTGAGGTGAGAAAACAGTACCTAATATGATGGATAGCAAATAACTAGAGAACTAAGAGACGACCAAGGAACTGAGGCCCCGTTTGAGTGGTCTAATCTTGCTATAATGTGCCTTTAAATCACATATTTAACCTAATCTTGAAAGGGTAACAGCAAAAACAAAAATAAACTGATCAGTTGCGGTAGCCAAGAACGTACTCCTTTTTGGGTCTGTCTGCTACGTTGTTCGCCCATCCCTCCCTGCCTCTCTCCCCGCCTTCCTACCTACCTCCCTCCTCCCTTCCCATCTATTCTCCATCCCTTCCTCCTTCCGTATCTTTCCTTCCATCTTTTCTTCTCTTATCTTTATGCTAAGTTATATAGTGTGGCGGCTACTTTTCACGGGTCCCAGATGCAGACTTGGGTGTAGGTCAAACCTCAACATATAACTGAAGCGATTGGACAGTTCTATCAGTTGACCCTATATAACAGGATGTGGGTGGCTTGCAACGTTGTGCGAAATGAATGAAACTTGTTAGCGAAATAAAGCTGGATTAGTAGAGTCAACAGCGGTTAAGAAAACATATTGTATTCAAACATACCAGTTATAGTGACTCCTCCAGCTCGGCCGAATACATCGACTACACCATAAAGCAGAATAGGGACGTTATTTATCTTTTTGCCAACATTTATACCATTGATAAAGAAATGTAAAGTTCCATCTGACTTGCGCATTAACCCAACTCGGTCGCCTACCTGGAAAACAAAGTCGGAAGGTTTGTTCCATTTACTTCTAAGGTTATGATTGGCGTTCAAAAGAACTTTAAAGCGATTTCGCTAAATACATCCAACAAATGGTACGAAATATATATATATAAAAAAATAACAGTTAAGCAGTAACACTTCTACGGCGTGAGCTAAACACCCACAGACATATTATGCAGAACGCCATGGCTATATTTCAATCTTTACATAGATTCACTCACAAATGTAAGTGACCCAAGGCCTAAGCCATTTTACACGTACATGCTGTTATTTCAGTTAAAGTAAAATTAGTTCGTATATGTTGAAGAATGTTGTATGTTTACCAAAAAAAAAATTTAACAATCATTCCTCGAGCCCGAATGCTTTCTGAGGGCTATTGACTCAGAGGCCATGAGGGCTAGGGGAATAATTGTTTTAGTAAAATTCAACTAGTTTGTCAAAAATATCGAGACAAAACAACTTTAGCTAGTTAAAAATAGACTTTAATCCTTTTTTGCCGCCAAAAAGCCGGCGCTTTTCGCTACTAGTGGGCTATAACATATAGCCTAGTAGTAGCTCAACCAATCAGAACGTAGCATTGGTAATAGACCACCAGTTGGATTTTACTAATGCCGTGTATCAAATGTAACACAAAAGTGAAAGTAAAACACGGAACATTCAGATACAACAGCAACAACTATAAAAAATGCATGAGTAGACAAAATGGAGGGCGTTTAAACCCGGTTTTGAAAAATATTATTATCTCATCGCTTTTGTTTGAAACTTTGTAGGCCTAACCAAAATCAGTCAACTTTACCAAATGGTAATTAAAAAGATGTCCGTGCATTAAAACTCTCTAATAAAGAAAAAAATAAAATAAATAAGCTTTTCGTACAATACTGTACCATCGGTTGTGAAAGCTACAGCAATTCATTAACGATAATCTGCGATCAGGCGGTTTTTTTTTTTTTTTTTTTTTTTTTTGGGGGGGGGGGGGGGGGGGGGGGTCTACAAAAAAAAAGAAGAAAAAACAACGGCAAAGAAGAAATTCTCTTTTTTTTAAAGGTGAGACCAA